AGACTTGAACCGTCCTAGGAGCCGGTGATAGACTGCTCTTTCGAACAGTTTTGATAACCCTGAGAGAAGGCTGATTGGTCGATAACTTGAAGGAGAGGTTTCTGGATGGGTATGACATTTTTTAGCTGACTTCCAGCACGAGTAGTCAAGTCGAAGGCACAGATTAAAAATCAGTGCCAGATGGTTGTAGTATCAGGAACTCAAGTGTTTGAGTTCCAGATTCAGGATGTTTTAAAACGATGTTTTGTCCGAGATTATGGGAGCTGACGAAGTGTTGACCTATCGCGGCAGCCTTCTCTTTTAGAGTTATTAGATGAACCACTGGCTCGCCGTAACTATCCAGTGGGGTTAGTGGTGGAATGGATCTTGACTTATTTTTAAGGATTTTGGTTAGTTTCCAAAAGGGTTTTGAACAATCTGGGAGAGAACGAATCCTGTTAGCAAAGTTTTGATTACTGAGGTCCACCATCCTGGTTTGGATGGTTTTTGTTAGGCGATTACAGTGGGTCTTCAAGACAGGCAAGGCAGAACGCTGGTATTGCCTTCGAATGGAGTTACGGAGTCAAATGAGATTCTTGGTAATTCTATCAAGGTTCAGAGTATTACCATAGTGGTAACTCTAAGACCAGAAGGTCCTGAAGAAACGTGCTCAACTTTTTGGCTCAGCTCTGGTACTCTCTTCGGTCCCAAGCTAATCGATGCACCCATCGAATCATAAGAATATCCACGAACCCCTTATTTTATCTGTCAAACTTTTATAGCGAATCAAAACAAACATAGTGTAGTACTAGAATTACAACTAGAATGGGATAAGTTAATAGATTTGCTTGGGATCAATAGGCTATTTAGTCAAGTAGTGAGCCAATTTAAAATCGCTAGTTTCCAACCGGTGGTATTACTCACCTGACTGGATACTGGAACGTGTTGTTCCCTGGCCCGGGATATCGCCTTCTCGATGGAACGCAAACACCGGCCAATGTCTTCGGGCGTCTCCGGAAGGACACCGTAGTCGACAGTGTAGTCGACACAGTGTGGGAACTGATACCAGCTGACACGATGATAGTTGCGTCGGGAAGCTTGGAATCGGTTGACGGATGAGCTCACATCGGCCACCACCGGATAGTGGTCCGAACTTAGCTCATCGTGGGTCACAGGTTGCGAGATGTTGTCTCCCATGCTGCTGACGAAGATGTCGATGGTGGAGTGTACGCCCGACCGGCTCAACCATGTGGGAGAGTTATTATGGTGTAGTGAGCCTCTTGCAAGTCGTCGTTCATGATTGTGCCGTTTTGGTTGCGTCGACTGTTGCCTCAAGCCTGGTGTTTGGCGTTCAGGTTGCTAGTGATGATGTACTTCTCACGCCGTCCAGTTGGTCTGATGATGTCTCTCCGCAGGTCTGCTGCCGACCCGTCCCAATCATCTTCAGCTGGAAACTCGGTAGCATTCGTCAGCCAATATTTCTCCTCAATGCGATAGCCACTCATCCTCCGCAGGAGTTGTTTCCCTCTAGCCTTACGCGCCGAAAATCGGGAAGGTGAACATTTATCTCCGGCTATAGGTGTGTTTCGGTGATGACGGCGATGTTCAACGAACTCAATGATTTTGCTCTTGAGAGAGCAAGCGTTCCAGTTGGTTATTTTGATGGCTTCACGGTCCATACTTTTGCACGAGGGGCATAACAGCACGAAGCTGTTCAGGTAGTGTCTTGGTGGAGCGCAAGATTATGATCACCTCAGTCACGAGGATCACTAGTTCGTCGCTTGTGAGTGGAGAGTCTTCTGGCTCACCTGACAAAGCACGGGCGTACGATAATCCCGGGGCAGTAGAGCCATGGCTCGGCTGGGCTGCTGTGGCAGTGAGGCGATGCTGAACTGAACGATGACTGGGACCTGCTGGATCTGATGGTGGATTTTCAAGAAGGGGGGGGGGGCGGTCTGATTTAGTGGTAGCGGTGCTAGATTGGGAACCATACGGCGAGGCTGAAGTACTGGAAACGTGTCCATGTTGACAGTAGGAGCACGATTATTGCGGTGGCGACCGGGTTGGTTCCTCGTGGAAGCCTGTTGTCGGATCTGGATGAAGGCCGCTCGCTTGGGACATCTCCTATCGCTGCCCAGGTGGTTGGAATCACAGTTCACGCACTTAGGCTCAGCTTCTTCTTCCTTCTTGCAGGCGGTAGTATTGGGATCCCCAGCACATTTGCCACAACGAGCCTTCATGTGACAATTCTTCGTACCGTGCCCAAATGCCAGACAATTAGTGCACTGTGTCACGTCACGGTGCCAAGGGCGACACTGCTCCCACTGAATCACGATGTTGAACAGCGCGTAAATCTGCCGCAGAGCTGCCACACTGGTGGAGCCCTTATCGAAGTGCACCAAATGCACTGGTTTCATCACGTCTCGCAATCGTTGGTTGGTTGCAGATGAAGGTGCTCCAATTCTGCTTTAATCTCCGCAACAGGGAGATTTGCAAGACCACGGATCACCATTTTCAGTGGTTTGCTTCCAGGGACGTCGTGAGTGTAGAACTCAAACCGGTTCAGCTGAAGATATGTGCCAACAGATTTGTAGTCCGTCAGCGTCGAGCACTAGATTTTGATCCCCGTGCTGCATAGCTTGAACAGCGAATGGATTTCATTTTTAGCCACCTCATTCCTGAGCAACGCGAGTTCCTTCGTTGAGGTGAACAGTGGGTTTCTCAACTGGATCTATATCTGCTTCTTCGGGGAGTGCCGAGAACGGATTATTCTGAAGTTACCTTTCCGTGTGGTTGCTGGTACCAGCTTTCTTGCGAGGCATTTTCGGGGCATCTTGAACGGATGCGGTTGCATCCAAACTTTGGCGACCCATTACCTTTTGTTTTTTCAACGGGTGAGTGGAGACATTCAACTGTTGCTCCACTACCGCCGATTTAGTGACTGCCACAATAGAGGCGAGAACTGACGACACGTTGATAGTGGAAGCGATTTGGCAGACCCTTTTGTAGAAGAAAATTTCGGCTGCTCTACCTTTTCCACTATTCTAACGTAATCAGTTTTCACCGAGCTCCGATCAGATCGACCGCAACGTTGAATAATTGTGCAGCTTCGGCTTGTGTCGTTAGGGATCAACTTTCTGATGGCTGTGTTAGGAGTTGCGGTCGATGAAAATGTATGGGAAATTTTAATATTTCCATATTTCTTCATTGTTAACTATTTAAATATTTAACAATTATAATGTGTGACATACCACACAAAGTTTATAACACTGATGAACCGATTGGCACACAAATCATCCATTGATTATTGGCCAAGTTATTTGCATTTAAAGTCTGACCAATTTTCGTTGCATTTCCCTGTATTGGCGCCCTTCCCGAAAGACGTAGTCCTACGTCAAAACGAGAACAACCGTGACCCAGTGAGATCGAATGAAGATAACAGCAGCAGCACACCTCAACAGTCCAGGATTGAATCCCAAATCAGACCCATTAAAAAAGGCATGTGTAAGCCCTGCCCACTGGCAGCTTTGATTATACAGTCGATTCAATTTTGGAGTCGGTAAAGTAGAAGTTGATAAAGTAGAGTATTGAGCTATTGATATCACCATGTGAGGCACAGAGACTTCAAGTGTGTCACAATTCGAACCAATAGTGTTGAGGCATGTTTCACAGCATAATATTCAGACATGAACTAGATGTGTTTCGCAATCAGTGCACAATTAAGTGATGATGATGATAACGTGTGGAATTTTTTGAGTGTAGGACACTGTAAGTGTACCAATTAGCGCTCACAAGTGCCCAAAACTGAATTATTTTTCAACTTCTTATGATATATGTGTGGCCTGTTTTTTTTTTAAATTCTGCTCCTCTTTGGCAATAATTCAGTAAACAACAATGATATTTGGCTATCTAGATTTGAACACCAATGAGCGGTAATTGGTACACTGATGGTACACACTTAAATAAAATCCTTTTTGCTGTTTTTGAGACTGCCGCTGCGGAAAACATCGTATGCATAATTTATGTTTATCCGTAGTTACAATCCATTCATTTTGGCTAACAAAAAATGTTTTATGAAATTATGGAACAATAAGATATTACGATGATATTTTGTATGTGTAAGTATCAAGAAAAGATTGTAAAGTTTGTGTTTGATACAAAAAAAAATCTTGTAAATTTAACTTTAACGGTTTCAGGATGAGCGATTTTCTGATCACCTCTTCGCGAAGAGTGAAGAGTGGGTGAGATAAATGACAAAAACGCTTATTGAGACTCTCATGTAGCAAAATTGGCAGGTATTATGTGCAAAACACAAACTTCACAATATTTCCTTGTTGCTTAGGCAAACAACATATTATCATAATGGGGAAAATGGATGTAATGTCGGCCTAAATGCCTCTAATTTGGGCCCATACATAAATTCAGCAATGGACTAAATTTTCAATCACAACCAAAAATATCCCTAAGTACCGTCCCAGTCATCTAGATAAAATTGATAAATAGCAGATATTTATCGAAGGTCCCAATCTTAGATTCATAGACCAACATTAGAGCCATTTCCCCTATCTTATTATTCCAAAATTTCATAAAACATTATTTTAGCCAAAATCTATGGAAGGCACCCTTGGTCACAATTTTGTTGATGTTTACCAGTCGTAAAATGATTTCCCCATCAATTAATCGTTCAGGCCAACTACGAATCGCCACTTGAAGGCCATTTCTCATGGAGAAGCATGGTGCTCCATCGTTCCAAACTCCAATCAGTATCGCTTCTCGCCTTATTCATTCTCAATTTTCAACACTGATTTTCTTGCATTAGCTAAGCGCTCAATTGTTCACCCTTAGTTACTAAATAAAGCAACCGTACAAAATGAGCACCCGCCACCTTCCCTCCTTATCCGTCCATTGGTGTATTCTATCCATGATGCGTCCAAATAATACAGCATTTAACACTGATTACCACCAATTTTGCCGCCTCATTTCATCGCTCTCTTCTCTCTCTCTCTTTCCATCTCCCTCAGCCTGCACACGTGCCGAAATGCTCGATTACCAGCAGCGCATCCAGCGATATGGCCAAGAGGTGGCGGACCGCAAAAAGCCCAGCCAGTTCACTTTCGAAATCTGGGAGTTTATGCAAGAGGCGAAGAAGGTGTGCAAAAACGAACTGATGGACGATGTGGACTACTCAAAGATGAAACTATCGCTGGAGGAGAACCTGCCCCAGGGCGTCTCGATCAAGGACTGCAGCGACGAGAACGATGAGGAGAGTTCGTCCGTGTGGTAAGTCAAACACATAAATCCGCGATGGGTGTGATCAATTTTTGCTCAATCTGTCGTTTCGTTTTAGGGACAAGAATTCACAGAACCTCTGCGAGGTACAGATCAAGGAGGATTCCATGGAGGAAGGTGACGATTACGACAAGAGTCGACCGGCAAAGTTTCCCCGACTGGGGGCCCTGCCCAGTTCGTCACCCTACTCGGCGGAAAATGCACATACCAAATTCAACGAGCTGTTGGCGAGTAGCTTCGCCAGTCGACTCAACGAGCATCTGTCCAACAACAATAACAACAACAAAGTCGACGTCGATAGCTACAGCCGAACGTTCGGCAGCGATTCGAACGTATCCGATGTACCTGTGAACATGTCTCAGAACGATCTGAGCAACACACTGGAAGCGCTGAACATCCTGAAGAACCGCTTCAACCGACTCAACGAGCTCGGCCAGTGGAAGAATGCATTCCACGAAGCGCAGAACCTCAGCACCAATGCCAACAGTCACAACGAGCATCAGCATCAGTCACTTCCGGCCCATCAGCCGCTCCCGGTGCCGCACCCAGTACCGAGGGAACATCAGCAACCCGCTTCCCCGATTCCGGCCAGTGCTAGTGCAACGAGCAGCAACAGTCAGCAAAATGCGATCAACAAGCTGACCGAACAGCAGCAGCAGAGCGAACACGAATTGCGGATGGAAATACTAAAAACTGATCTCGAGACTGCTAAACTCAATAAAGAAACCGCAGAAATTAACCGACAAATTGCACTCCAAAAGCTAAACAGTCTGAACAGTTGAAATAATAGCCAAACGGCAGCCAGCCGAGGTGCGCACCAGACGCAGTACTTAAATGCTAATAGTAGGCATAATACAATAATTTCAACCCGATCCAAGCAACCCTGTGTGTGCGGTGGACGCGAGCGCGCCGAGTTGATCAAAGCTGGCTAATAATCATGAAGCGAGCGAAAGAGTGAGTGCGAGCGAGCGAGCGAGAGAGTGAAAACTAGAGATATTGTGCAAAATAGCTACCTCAGCAAGGCAGTCACATTGCCGTTGCCACCAAAAACTAGGCTTTTCGCACCTTTTCCAACCTTTTCTGTTATTATTATTATTAATATTATTATTATTATTATTTTGGCTTTTCCTTTGAAATTGTAGTTTTTATTTTTTTTTTATTTCAAAAAAGACTAAGGTATAATTATCACTCTCCTTTTTTGTAGAACAAATTAATTAAAACCAAATCACCCTACCGCGGTAGGATGTGAGTCGTGTGAGAAAGAGCGATTGGTGTTATTATACTGAAAGCGGGGGGGCTCACACCCTGCACAAGTACACCAACGCTCTGGCACAAACACCACTGTAATATTAAATTTAATGTATCTCACTTCGAAGGAATAATAAATATGAACTTATATAAAGGTATAACTGAATAAAAGCAAACCTATGTAACTGTTTTATCTTGAGCTTTTCTGTTTTTATTTTCGCGCCCGGAGAGAAGTTTTCTCACACATGATGATACTTACTTGCTTACTTACTTACTTACTTATTGGGTATGGCTAATGATGATGACAGCGCTGGAGATTACTGCAGCAGTCGGTGATATCTCCGGGAGGTATGTTGTTTGATGCCACAGGTGTGTTAATCAAATTTGGCTAGTTTGTGCGGCTACTTTGGCGTGGAGATGCGGAGACGAAAATTGAGGCTAGTTTAATTAAGGTGAGGCTTATTAACGGAGGTTTTTCGAATGCACTTCTCTCGTTAGGTCTTATGGTAGGGGGATTTGTAATTGGGCATTGTGCGTTTCTTAGTATAGTAGCAACGAACTTCAATTGGGGATGGCATTTTTGATAGTGTAAGTCAGGGAAATAAGATAGAATTCTCGACCAGGCGTCAATTATTGGAATTCTGGGCTCTTAAAATGAACAAACAAAACAAAACAAACGTGGAAGTGTAGTGTAGAAGATTATTAATTATCCCCCAATCAAAACAACACTGTCTTCCATGCGTACACCGAAAACTGAGTAACTGGATAAACGATACACATTAAAACCCTTGAGAAAGGTGGCAATCCTACGGTCGGGAAGGTGAAAAACCACCCGTTTATACAATAAAGCTGATTTCACACTGTTTTCCCGCACGCCAAATATTTGACTAGTTAAGTTTTCCTAAATAATGATATTTGTCATAGACAAGTGATCTTAGGCAAATATTTGATCAGCTATTTTTCTATGGTTCAATTTAATTTGTGTCAAGAGAGCGAATTTTTCTAATCTCAGGCTTCATCCCAGATTGGAAATCATATGATCCATATCAGGTTGGAAGATCATAGAACGATTATGAGTTCGTTCCGTGTTCACTGGAATCGCATCAAACACATCTATTTGTGACAAGAATCTGTTCTGGAAAAGGCCACAAGTTGAAGATTAAATTAGAACGGTGAATAAGGAGTGTACTACGCATAGGAACTGGCATTAAGAATACTTACTTTACTTTACTTTTCCTGGTCCGACGTCCCTCAGGATTGCACCTGTGTCACAATGTTACGCCAACTAACTCGGCTCGTGGCTGCTTGTCTCCAATTTCTTGACCGTCCCACACTTCCTAGATCTTGCTCCACTTGGTCTAACCACCTTGCTCGCTGTGCTCCTCTGCGTCTTGTACCGGCTGGATTCGAGGAAAACACCATTTTTACGGGATTATTGTCCGGCATTCCTACAACGTGTCCCGTCCATCGTACCCATCCAGCTTTCGCGACTTTCTGGATACTGGGTTCGCCATAGAGTTGCGCCAGTTCGTGGTTCATCCTTCTCCTCCATACACCGTTCTCACATGCCACGCCAAAGATGGTCCTAAGCACTCGTCGTTCGAAAGCACCCAGTGCTTGCAGGTCCTCCTCGAGCATCGTCCACGTCTCGTGCCCGTAGAGCCGGTCTTATCAGTACGGGTGAAGTTTACCCGTCCTTGGCGTCTTGTGGAGTCCGTAGTAAGCATGACTTACGGCAATTATGCGTCTACGAATTTCTCTGCTGCAATTGTTATCCAACGTCACCAATGTTCCGAGGTACACAAATTCATCCACCACCTCAAACTCATCTCCGTCGATTGTCACGCTTCTGCCTAAGCGAGCCCTATCGCGCTCCGTTCCTCCAGGCAACAGATACGTTGTCTTCGACGTATTCAGCTTTAATCCAACCTTCTCTGCTTCACGTTTCAGCCTGGTGTATTGTTCCGCCACGACCCGAAACGTTCTTCCGACAATGTCCACGTCGTCAGCGAAGCAGATGAACTGGCTGGCCCCGCATGTTAAAGCCCGCACGTTGCATAACACCTTCTAGCGCAATGTTGAACAGGAGGCAGGAAATACCATTGCCTTGTGGAAGTCCTATGCGAGTTTCAAAAGGGTCCGATAACGCCCGCGATATCTTCACACAGCACTGTACACCATTCATCGTAGCCCTGATCAGTCTGGTCAGCTTCCCGGGAAAACCGTTCTCGTCCATAATCTTCCATAGCTCTTCACGGTCAATAGTAACATAAGTGGCCTAGAAATCGATGAATAGGTGGTGGTTACTTTCACCTAGACCGTAGCGTGCTATGGTGGTCCTTGACTCGCCAACCAGAAAGCAACTTAATTGATTGAAAAAGATCCTGAATCAGCTGAATTGGTGATTTACACTTCACCTTGATTCACTACTCGCACTTAGTAATCTTGTCAAGTATACTCCACAGACACTTCTGGTCTACACGCTCGCCTGAGATAAAGTGAACTATGGCCGTTCTATAAGCATTGGAGAACCCTTCAGCTCATGACTCCATGACTCTGTGTCACCATTTTGCCACGGCCACGCACGACTAATTCAGCAGTATGCCGCTAAGCATAGCCGTATCGTCTGCCCAGTGGGTTTCACCGCAAGTGCTATACAAATTACTTGAATGCTCGATCACATGGTGCATATTTCAAATAATGTATTGGACCTTTGTAAAAGAACGGTTAAACCATCCCCACCCAGGTTAAATAATTGATCTGGTTTAGGAAGTAAACCAGAGTCATTATTTAATCCCACACAGAGGTACTAAAGTCGGTGTATAATGAGTCACGCCAAGAGAAAAACAGTTGAACTCGCATCACGGTTTCCGAATGATTCCCTTTCTTTTCACTTGGCAACAGAGGACTTCTACATCAACTTTAAATGACTTCTAGCGAGAACCAAAAATAACGGCTGTAGTGAATCATACTATCAGTGATTTTGTCAAAGTACCTTATCAAAAAATAGTAGAAATTCTCATTACTGATCAAAACCAAACGTATCCCATGACCATTTAATGCTCGCTGCGTGTTTATGATGATTTCTTCAATTTTATTTTATATTTCATTGCAATACCTTTCGTAGACCTTTCATAGCATCGTAATGTTTATTTACTTTGCACGATAGGTAGCCGATTTGACAGTTCAATAGGTAGACTTGGCTTCACTCTTGGCGTGACTCATTATACACCGACTCTAAGAGGTACTAATATCTTAGAGGTAACTCTAAGACCAGAAGGTTCCGAAAAAACGAGCTTAACTTTTTGGCTCAGCTCTGGTACTATCTTCGGTCCCAAGCTAATCGATGCACCCCTCGAAACATAGGAAAATCCACGAACCCCTCATTTTATCTGTCAAACTTTCATAGCAAATCAAAACAAACATAGTGTAGTACTGGAATTTTTACTAGAATGGGGTATGTTAATCGATTTGCTTGGGACCAATAGGCTAGTCAAGCAGTGAGCCAATTTAAAATCGTTAGTTTCGAATTGATTGTTGCTAATATCCTTTTCAAAGCTGACAGTTAACACCAGGGGTGAATTCATTCTACTACTTCATTTTCGCTAAATTCATCTCGCCTTCATCCTACTCATGGTAGGAGATGGAGATGACCAATCTGTCTCTTCTCACACGCGATCGCGATTGTACATACAGTTGACCGGGCATCTACAACAGTGTTTTATTACAAGGAACAATGGACTACAAATTAAAATTGTGCTACTGTAACAGTGAACAAAAATACATGGCATGTTAACAAATGGTGAAACTAGTACGGATTTCACAAGATAAGTATTACTTTATGTATCTCCTATGTATGCGTTAAGCTGGACGAAACTATTTATTTTCAGGTTTGTTCGACCAGGTGGCCTTCTGGTCTTATCAGGCGTGATCCACTATGGAAATTATATTCGTATGGTTGAGCTTTCTGTGCACCTTGAAAGCGATCATTATGATTTTTTTTACGCCTGTGGAACAAACCTGAGAACGATCCCATTTCATTGAGAATTAATTGCTCTACATGGTTCAAAATAGTAAGTACATACACACAATTTTAAATTACTATACCCTATTCCTATATTCTATCATCCTACTGATACCTATCTTTATTCTAATGCTATTATTCCTTTCAAGTTGAGTGTGCTGAGATTTGTCATTGTCATTGACAAACTTTCGCGCGATATTGACAAAATTGTTCGTCACATAGTAACTGACAGACTTGATCCTCAAAAAAACCTTCGCCAAAATCTCATTCATTTTTTCGTCAATGACAAAGATTCACCTGGTAACAAAAAGTGTAATTTAGTACATTCTGTGTCACATAATTGTTATCCAAGTAGCTCAGGACGTAGATAAAGGGCGAACACGAAATTATTGCGACACATTCAACAGGGCATAACTTTTTTACCATTGGGTAAAAATCAACCAAATTTTGCACACTTTCTCATTGATGTGTATTGTGTACATGCTGTCAAACTCGAAGTCGTGTTTTTCGATTCAACGAAAATGGAGGTGAACCAACGCGAGTTGAGAGAACAAATTCTTTCCAAACACCTGGAATTTCCTGACCTGTCGCACCAGCAGTTGGGAAAAATGTTGAACATTCACCATTCAACCGTCTCCAGAGTGTTGAAGCGGTTCCAGGAGCGGTTGACGTTGGACCACGGCAAAGGAGCTGGAAGAAAACCGGGACCGGAGAACAAAAAGACGGAGGGAAAGGTGAAGCGGATGATTAAAGCAAATCCCAACGTCTCAAGCCGTGATTTGGCTAAAAAGATCGGCATGTCGCAGAGCTTCGTCCAGAATGCAAAGAAGAGAGCTGGACTACATACATACAAGGTACAGAACTTCCCAAACCGCGATGAGCGGCAACAATCGACGGCTAAAACTCGGGCACAGAAGCTCTACGAGAAGATGCTGACAAAATATGGCTGCTGTGTGATGGACGACGAAACGTATATAAAAGCCGATTTTAAACAAATTCCGGGGTTGGAGTTTTTCACCGGCAAGAGCAAGTTCGATGTGGACGACAAATTTAAGAAGAAGAAAATGTCGAAGTTCGCCTCCAAATATCTCATTTGGCAGGCCACCTGCTCTTGCGGACTGAGGAGTGAGCCTTTCGTGACA